TATTGCTAAGAAAACACAAGAAAGTTGGTGGGAAAACTATAGTTGCTGCAGCTGCAATGGATCTCAAGACTAGAGTAATTGATATTTTATTCCCTTCTGCACCACCCATCATAGCTTTGCCTCAGCCTCAGCTAGTAAGTACCCATACTGGTCTAGGCAGATTACACCATAGATGTGAATACTGACATGAACTCAGCACAATAGCGGCAAGACATGGGCATCTGGGCCATTAGCTGATAGAACTTTATTGTGTCCTTTGGCCCTACTCATGCCCGGTCTTATATATGCCACTTCCATTTTGTGGTGGATTGCTGCTGGGCCCACTCAGCTTATGGCTTGCTGGATGTGACAGAACCCAGCTATGAGGGTTATCTCTTGCCATAAAGTTATTTTATGCCCCATGGTCAGATACTCCATTTCAATCAAGGATCATTAGACTGAAACAACATCTGTTTGAAAGGTGTATAGACCTTTACCAGACATCAGGGATAGTATGACTTTGCTTCAGAATCCTAGGAGTCTATGTTGTGGTTCTCCTACTGGGATTACTGGTAACTCGAAATGGCATCTTTTTCCACCACAGGTAACCTTTAACCCCATAGAGTCTGCTGAGTGATACAGCAGGGCTGCTTGCACTGGTGCCTAGACCAGCTTCGGAGCCAGTCTTTTACAAACTCTGTCACCTGCTAAAGGGATTAGAACAATATTCTGAAGTGCGTGGGAAATAACTATGAATATGCTTAATGGAGATTTTCAGGCTCCATTTTTATAGGAACCAGCCTCCCTTCAGTCAATGGGTTCCAGATCCGATAAATGATTCAGGTCTGGAAACTAGGCCAGTGACAGTGTCATTTTTTGGGGGCAGCTGCCCATAGCCTCCTGACAATCCAGTCTTGATTTTTTTAATAAATTGATACCCTTATTGCCTGCCTATCTATTTTGCCTCTAGGAACATTGAGTTCTATAAACCATCAATATAGTTCTCTATAGATACCAAACCAATATTGCAATTCATTGCAATAACTGCACACTTTTAAATTTTTATTTATTTATTTTTAGACAGAGAGAGAAACATCTATTTGATTGCTTCATCTATTCATGCATTCACTGGTTGACTACTGTGTGTGCCCTACTGGGGATTAAACTTGTAACTCTGGTGTTTCAGCACACTTCAACCAACTGAGCTAACCAGCCAGGCCTAATTACTCACACTGCTTCTGACAGTTATGTACTGTCACTTGGTCTCTATTGTGTCTGGATCTTCTCATCCCTATTAAGGAGCCCAGTTCTATAACAGTGTCTTCTCCAGTCAATCCTGGCAAACAAGACTACCACCAAAGAAATTCTCAGTGATCCTTACCCATGCATTGCTTATCACTTTGGTAAGTGGTGTGTTCTCTGAACTTTGAACACAGCCAGTGGGTGGGTTTTCCATCCCTGCATGTGCATACCCACCTCTATGAGCCATCTGACATCGTTTCCCAGTCAACCATGGCCATGGCAGTTGGAGCATTTCCACTTCATTTAGTGTGGGCTGTTGATTTGTCTAAGCTTCTAAGTGCCATTCTTGCACCTGGGGTGCTTCCTAGGGTGCTAAATCTTTATCCTGGGAGAATATTCCCTTTATCAATAAACTCTTCCTAACCCAAATTTAGTCACTCTTCTTCATTACTGTACTGGTATGTTTGAGCTGACTTTTTTCCTTTTGTATGCACAAAAAGGTGTGTAATGGTCTCTGAATAAGCAGTATCTTAACCCATGTTTCAGGACGAAGAAAGGTGAATGGAGCCCCAGCAGAGTTGCTTTCCAAAGATCTGCCATCTTGAAATAATGACAATGTTCTTGATCCAGTCTTAAAAATCAAGATTTAAAGGCTATAGGGATTATTCCAAAATGTGCTTTGCTTTTGCACATTTTTGCACATAAAATGTCACCTGATTTGGTTTTATATTCAGTGTTTATAAATATAAGAGTAATGGCTTAATTAGTATTTCTGACTTAATTGCAGGTTTTATTGTAGGACATACTTCTCCGTGGGGGAAATGGGAAGTGAGGGAAGCAGTAAGGTCAAATGTTTCCAGGTTTTGTAATAAAGTGATGAATGTTTTTATAGAGACTGACTCCTTGATTTTTAAAAATGAATTCCTTCATGCAATAAACACATTATTTGGAATTTTTTCCAAACCCGATTTAGAAAAGTAGAAAGAAGATTAGCAAATTCTACCTACTGAGCACTTACATGCACAGTTGTACAGGCTGTGATTACACAAGGGCACCAACACACCTTAGGGGGTATGGTTCACATTGTAAACATCATTATTTGTATATTTATTAAGAAAAATTTCCAGCAGATGGCAGTAAATTGTCTTACTTGAACAAAATCAGAATATTACAATTTCTGCCAAAGAGATGTAAAGTGTCTTAAGGACTGTGCATATTTTTTTTGTGTAAATAAAAGTATCATGTAGACTAGTGGTGGCACTGCTTATTATGTGCCAGGGCCTATGCTCACTCACCCTTGCTGAATCCTCAGGAACCTATGAAATGGGTGCTATGAGTAACTTGCAGAAAGCCAATGAGTCAGGTTGTAGTTTTGAGAGTCTAATCTGGGTCTCTAACTCAGTTATCAGCCTGCCCTCTTTTGCACTAAGCGATGATATTTCAGCAAACTATGGCCTGGGGAGTTAAGGAGACTTGACCATAGAGAGTCTTCTGCGCGCTGATGCTCAGGCCAACCTGCTACCTGTTCTCCTGCGTGCTTACCACAGGGCTGGGTGCCCTGTGGTACCCAGGGTGGTGTCCCATTAGGGACTGAGGAGCAGGGTACATGTCACTCACCCAAGAAGAAGGCCATACTTGAGTTAGTAAGAAAAAAATAGGAGAGTGATGAGATTCTCTTTGGCATTTTAATTATATTTGTATGGTTTAAATTATACATGCTACAGAAATTCAAAAAAACAAAGCCAATTTAGGTTACAATAGTTTTCAAAGGTCCACCAATAGATGAGTGGATAAGACAACAAGAGACACTATTTTTGTTCTAGTACAAATAGAAAATTTTTTGTTTTAAAAAGTCCATTATGAGTCTAAAAAGTCTATTCAAAGTTTCATAATAGACTTTTTGAAAAAATAAAGCTTCATTTGCTTTAAGTTTTTTATGTCAAGGAATATTTCATAGCATAAATTTTCCAAATTGCTATGATCAAATTGTAGCACCCATCCATACATTATTAAATATCTATTACTTTCTTTGATACTATTTGATAAGTATGAAATGATGTATGAGGTGTAAACCTTCAAGCACAATATAAAATGGCCAGAAATACATAATAGGAAATTCACCATTCCCATAACATCAGAGGAGGTTTTACCCTATATCGACCAATTTCTTCATTACCAACATGGTCATCTGAGAAAAAAAGGTTTTAATGTGAGAAAGATGAAAACTACCTTCATTTTCTGAGATTCTTAAAAGGCCCATAGTACAAGCAGGCAGACACAGGAGAGAGGAATGAAAACTACAAAATTGGGAATGAAAATGATGTTTTCTTATGCAATAAGTTTGAGTTACTGCAAGGAAACAAATTGGGCCCAAGGAGGTATTAAAAAGTAAAACTAGGAAATGGAGGAGCCAAAGAACTTACATACATGACCCATTAACAGAGGCTGGGTTTTGTCTGAGGGAATAGGGGGCATTGGGTGGAGAAGAGCAAAGGGAAAAAACCAGGACAACATTAATAGCATAATCAATAAAATATAACTGAAATAGAAAAAAGAAAACAAATTTAAAAAGTGTGATTAAATAAAATGAAAAAAAAATTTTAAAGTAAATAATGACAGTGAGAACATAAATAAATAAACAAACAAACAAATAAATAAATAAAAAGTAAAACTCCAAGCAATTAAGGCTGATATAAGGCAAAAAGAAATGGGACAATTATGGGTATAATAATGTTTTAAAAGATGCAAAAAGCTATGCACCATTAGGAAATGATCACAGAGATGAATTCAGAGAATACCATAAATAAATGGGAAGGTTCCTTCTGAGAAGGAATAAAAAGAGTCTGAGCCAGAAACCTGAAGTCCGGCCAGATCGGAAGCACTGGCATAGGGGCTCCCTGGTTATCATTCACTTCCTCTCCAGTCTTCCAGGGGAGATCAGTATAAGGACTGTCCCTTTAGATCAAAAGACACACTCATGCCAACTAACCAAGATTCCTAAATCTAAGCACATCTTTCCCAAGGCCAGAAACACCATAGATAGGAAAAATGAAAAGGACAATTCTCATGCTGTTTTTATTTAAAATTTTATTGATACCCTCTCTCACCCCACACTAGCTCCCTAAGTGAATGAAGATGCATGTAAAATAGGAGCCTGATGGTGTTCTTTTCAAATCTCTGCAAAATATGACTTTTGAAACTTGGGAAAGGAAAGGTAGGGTACGAGAACACTGCTGACCCATTTTGCATGCCTGCTTCCTTGTTTATTCATGAGCAGAACTAGACTAAGAAACCTTTCAATGAAAGTAGAAATCATGTCTGCAATTATATAAAACTTCCTGTTGACTTCTGTCCTCTCCAGCACCGTGAAAGGGAAGAAACAGTTTAGGGAGGGCAAGAAAAGTGCTTATAAAACTTCAGATGAAAAGGTTGCCTCTTTCAATTATTTCCCTTCTATAACCCACTGTGGAATTTGCAAGGCCATTTTTACTTGCCTATGCCTATGAAGAACTGAACAAAAGAACTACAAGTTTTTTAATACCACCTTTTCATGTGTCTAATTAGAGGGGTGTGTGTGTATGGTTTTTAATAGAACAATAACAAATGCTTTAAAATTATTTAATGTCTTTCAAAATCTACCTTTAGATTAAATCCTGTTTAATAAATGACCAAGAAAATTTTCTCATAAATTCAAGCCACTAATTTTTAAAGTATTACATAAATTTAGAAAATATTATCTAAAGGTATTTCACATTGAATAAATTCTAGAATGTATTTAATTCAAATGTTTAGAAAGAGGTTAAATAATTGTTATTCATAACTACTCTGCTGTGAATTTGAGTAGAAAAATGTAACTTTGCTTAGTTAATAATTGGTTGATAGCTGTCCACTCTCTGCAAAAGTGTATCTGAATATCCAGGAGAATAATACCTGAAAAAGAATGTTTTTTTATTAGATACTGGTAAAAATTTTCAGCATAGTAGGCACAAAAGATTCAATACAAGGTTTTTATCTGAAATAATACTATAAAATGAAACCTCTGAATAATTATGCTCCAGTAATGCTTTGTGTACAAGGTTAGAGACTATCAAGAAAAAGAACATCAACTCACAAGCCTGTGCTAGATAAATAATAACATTTAAGAGATATCAAAGCAGGGGCAAAGAATGGATATTTTTAAATCCAGTGATTAAAGTGTCTTTGTTTTTATTATGTCAAATGACTGATATTGCTTTAATGATCACAGCTAATAGATTCTTTTCATAAGTTGGACAACACAGCCTATCATTACTAATCAAGTTCTGCATTCTGATTGTCTTAGAGATTATTTTCAAGTTATGTTTTAATCAGATCTGGTCACCCATAAAAAATTTCTGGGAGCATAATTCATGTTAAATAACTATTTCATAAGTGGTTTACAAATAAATATTCTTTTACATAAACATGGGAAATTAATTTCATTTGTTTTTGATCATCTATAGTACTATAAATTTATATTTATAAATAGAATATTTTATGAAAGATTTAGTATAAAAGTATTAAATGTATTGATTAATGCATTGTGGGATGCTTCACATACCATGGAAAGAACTTACATACATATAAAAATATGTCAAATAAAGTTTGGTAGACATCCTAGAATATAATAAAGAACTAAAAAAATCTAAAGGGTAATTAAAAAATTTCCAAGACACTTAAAATAAGTAAGCCTCCTAAGGTGCTTTCTCCAGGTAAAACCTAATGTTCAAGACTTGTTTTGTCCTCTGTTAGTTATCTTTATTCTCAGATGCTTGACTTAAAAATTCATAATTGATAGTATACTAATTTCTTCTACAATCTGTCAAGCTATAGTGGACAAAAGAGAGCTGTATTTTTCTCAATAATGTACTTATTTAGATAGTCATAGTTAAACAGATATATACATATTGTTCAAACATAAAAAGCTACTTTAAAGAATGTTATTCTTCTAAAGGCCTCCTACTCTGGAAAAAAAATTGTCCCTTCAACAGTGGATCTTTTCAAAGTATTCATACACTGAGGAATTCATAGCTGTTTCTCTATGTTAGTCACAAATTTTAAAGTAGGCCTCACCTTCCTAAGCCTTATACAATAAATATGTCAGGTATAAGATAGGTATTTGTTTATGTAAATAGCAAGAATTAGATTTTTTTTAAAGCACCAAACTTTGAAAATTGTGCTGATATATGGTAGGTGCTAACCACATACTCCTCATAAAAGAACTAAAATGAACCTCCAAAAAGGGATAGGAAATTCCTTTTCTCTGCTTGTCAACAATTGCTATCCCAATTTACCTCTATCTGGCCTTTAAGAATATAAATGAATTAGCCCTGGCTAGTGTGGTTCAGTGGATTGAGCACTGGTCTGCAAGTCCAAAGGTTGCTGGCTTGATATCAGGGCACATGCCTGAGTTGTGGGCCAGGACCCCAGTAGGGGTTGTGCGAGAGGCAACCACACATTAATGCTTCCCTCCCCCTCTTTCTCCCTCCTTCCCCCTCTTTCTAAAAATAAATAAATAAAAATTTTAAAATATTAAAAAAAATGTAAAGAATATAGATGAATTAACCTTATTCTAGACCCTGTAGAATCTGGGTTATTATACAGTTACCATATCAGAAAGTGCCAAATAGAAGACTGTATGCATGCCTCCCTCCCAAAATTAAATGTTTCATAAAAGCATTGTCCCCTCTCCAGTTTAGACTGAGATCCAGAAGACATGAGTTCCCAAAACTCTGCTGTGGAATGGACAAGGACTAGAACTTAGGACTTCTAACATGTAGTCCTAGGTCCCTTCTCTCTCATCATACTAACTACCTTTATTAGAAATTTTGAAAGATTACTAAAATTGGAAGGCAATAGGTAGTAAATGTTTAGGGTAATAAGAGCAGAGAGACTGTAACCATTGATAATCTGTCTTATAAAGAATAATAAACTCTGACTGGTGTGGCTCAAAGGATTGAGTACTGGCCTGAGAACTAGGGTGGCTGGCTTGATTCCCAGTCAGGGCACAGGCCTGGGTTGCAGGCCAGGTCCCCAGTAGGGGGCAAGCGAGAGGCAACCACACATTGATGTTTCTCTCTTTCTCCCTCCCTTCCCCTCTCTGAAAGTAAATTATTTATTATTTTTTTAAATAAGTTTTTTAAAGCATTAAAAAATAGTTCTAAAATAGTTACCAAGTGATTCTTGAGAATATGTTTGTAAAAATAAAACCATAATTTTAAGATTGTATTTGTCCCTTCTCATAGAAAGATAATATTTCAAAGATATCTATAAAACACCATTTTATAGAACCTAGTCTTTCAAAAATATATCAGAAACTTGAAAAGGTCAGCTAACCAAAATTCTTAATGATAATTAATCAATTTTTAAAATAAAATTCAAGATTACAGGATGTTAGAAGTCAAAAATTTACAATGGCATTTTGACAAATCACCAAATTAGATTCTATATAACATGTTAGAGTTTTTTGTTTCCCCTTGTGCTCTGTAAAATAATCCTAGGAAGGAGTAGAAAGAAGATTTCTATTCAAGAAAGTACTTTACTACTGGTTAATTCTAATAGGTCATTCTATTTGGGGAGCCCTTTAGCTTTTTTCATTTTTCTGTATTTTTTGTGTTAGAAAATTGAATTAAGTAATTTAATTTTACACAAAATAGCATTCTTTTTAAAGGGGTGTGTAAATGTATACAAATTAACTTCATCTTTTCTTGAGAAAGGATTTTCATATTTCCTTCATTTGGTGGTTTTCCACAAATGTTTTACACACATATGTTACATAAATATTGGGGTATATTATTATAATTGTAAATTTTATATAGTATATACTTTATGATATACCATTTCTTTGGTATATTTTATATGTATTAATATTTTCAAAGTTAACTTATTTGAACTCTTGGTCAAGGAGTTCTCATAAACCTCCCAAAAGTGCATAGACTTAAATGTGCAAGTAAAGAGTTTACTTGCAGAATATATGTAAACAGAAAACACATTATAATCTTAAAAAATTATTTTTATGTTTTTAAAATTAGTGTTTCCATATGTATGAAAACCCACTGATATAAAATAGGAAGAATAGTTTATATAACTTTTATAAGTTTTCAAATTAAAATTTATATTCTCCAATATTAGAGAAAATAAGAAATAAGTGTAGGATTAGAAAAATATGGCCTTTAATTCTGCATGTGTTGTGCGAATTTTTCACACAATAAAAGGAAAGTTACTTCCCTGGTAACTTCAAGTTTGGTGGTATGGTACTATTTTAGGCTTACAAGGTTTGAGGCTTAGGTTTAATGCTCTTCAAATAAACCTCATTTTAAAAAATTAATCTTGAAAGTAGCTTCCCGCTGCATTACTATGGAGCATCTGCATATCATAAACATTACTTATTTAATTTCCTCTTAAATATAGTTTGTAACTTTTTCTGATACTAAACATGTCTTTTCTATTTGTAACACTCCTATTAATATAAAGGTGAGCTTAATAATAAGCAGGGTATTACAAAAATCAGAATCTATAGGCTTTTTCTAAACCAGGTTCACATTAAAGATTAATTTAATTTGAACTGTGTATTTGAGTAATCTTTTGTAAAGCATGTCTTAAATTAGTACAGAAATGTTTTAAATGACATTGCAGTTTGACTTGGAAATGTGCGTGTCATTCGGAACATTATTTAACTTGAGGGAAATAAAGTGATCAAGAGCAGAGGTAAAGGTCTACATTGGTCTCATGTAGTATTTCAAAGTACACATTTTGACAGAGTAAATATAGAAATCTAGACTTGAAAACAGAAAAAACACATTATAATTTGACCTTCTAATAGTCTGTTTTTCCCACCTTACTATTTCCTCTGGGTAGCAGTTATTAATACTGTTGATGTATTCCTGAAGAAGAGATCCAGGTTCTGCTTTAATCTCTTGAACCTTTTTAAGTCCACCACTTGTTACAAAAAGTCGTCGAGCTTTGCTATCATGTGGCAGCACCTTGAAAAATGAAGCACATTAAAATGTCAGCTTTTCTTTTCCAAGTTGGATTGTTACTACTGAAAAGCAACGGTATACCTGAGGAAGTGTAAAAGAGTATTCATGTCCCATATGCCTTTAATACAATGAACCTAAATTTGCTGAGATTAGAAGTAAAATTCAATCCTTTTAGAAATGTATGAACTTTCTGTGTTGTGCAGATGGAATAAAGGCATTGAACATGAGCGAAGGCAGTGGAGACCCAATCACATACATAAAACATAAAGTGGTGTCCCTCCATTGCTGACATCCATTTAAAATCTTTCTACTACCTACAAAATTAAAGGCAACCGCCTTAACTGGGCCCAGAAGGCTTTCTGCGACCCAGCAACTAATTACCTCTCCAGCTTCCTTTCCCACCAATCTCTGTCCCAAATGTGCATGCTGGGGCAGAGTTTCTTGCCTTTGCCCATGCTGTTCCCTCTCCTAGAATGTCCTTCCACCTTCCATGTACCCCCCCACCCCCGTGTGCTTGGATAACTCTTGCTTATCTTCTAAAATTCAGCTCAGGTGTTATCTCCTTTAAGAAACTTTCTTGGGAACTCCCCTATTCTCTTATCCTAGGATGAGTTAGGTACTTTTCTTCTTTCCTAGCATTCTGTTAAACCCCACTGGTATACCTGCCACATAATATTTTAATTATCAATGTATGTGTCTGTCATACATAAATGTCATGAAGGCAGAAACTGTACATTATTCATTCATTTTTTTCCCTAGTGTTCGGTGCCTAATAGATGCTCAATTACTATTTAACAAATGAATGAACATACTAAGGAGTAGGCAGAAAAAGGAAATTGAGATGTCAAAGAGATAGAAAAAGAATCGGGAAAGTAAGGAATCCACAAATCCAAGAGATTTTAAGAAGCAACCAGTGAGAACTAAAGAAAGTCCCCGTATTTGACAATGGATGTTTGTGTACTGAGAGGAAAGAGCCAGTGTAGAAATTAATGATGCAAGGCCACAACTGACCAGACAAGGAGGGAGGTTCACAGTGTGGGAATTTCCACTCTCTTCTTGGTCATTGCTACTATTCCCTCTGACAGAAACGCCCCTTCTTTCCCCCACCATCCTTACTCTTTCTTCAAAACCATCTCTTTTCACTTGTACTTTCTGTATTGAAGCCCTCTCTGAATGCCTCAAACTGTATTCACTTATTTCTTCTTTTTAAAAAGATTTATTATGCAGTCTAGCACATTGAAATAATTTCTAATTGTTTCTTCTAGCCTCCCCAGATAGATTATGAAGTTACTTGAAGAACTTTGTCTTTTTTTTTTTTTTTTGTCTATTACTCCAGGCTTTACAGGGTACATGTTGGCATTTAACAAATACTTAAAACTTCAAAAAGGATGTGGCTAATAGAATGTTAATATACATCATCTGGACAAAAAAAAGAGATTACACTAGACTATATTTGAAAAAATGGAATAGTCTACAGATATATCAGTTTTAAGTATATATTTTTTTTGTCTGGAGAGTCTTCATACCTATTATGTCTGTCCCCAGCCACATTAAACTGCTATCTTCTTACCTTCTGTTTTGCTTCCCTATCTCTTTCTAGTGCTCTGGGACCCTTAGATGAAGAACACGCAAAATTCTGCTGAAGCAAATATTCTTGAAGGCACAATTCTAAGAGTACATATTATGAGGTACTGTCTGTATTTTATCTTGGCTATCTAACCTTTCACCAATCTGATTTATTTTTATTTTCTTTAATGACTTTTTATAATTCTTAAATTGGATTAGTGTTCATTTTTAATAGCAAGTTCAATAAAACTAGACCATTTCGGTAGCCTAAAAGATTTAAAATAAAACTTTCAGAAATAATGTCAACTTCTTATTTCCAAGAGCTGATAAGTCAGTCTATAGATGATCCACTCAGCTCCTTACTGTACCCCCTTAGGTAGCTGCTCAGTTTCTTACTTAGCTGTGGTGGGGGAGAGTTTAATTATTTTCTTCATGCATTTATCTGAAAGAACATAGGTGTTGGTGTACAGAATTGCATCCCGAAGAAGCTTCAGCAGTGTGAGCCCACTATCCAGTGGCTACGGTGTCTGAGTGTTGGCCAATCGGTTGGAGATTATGGAAAGAGTTCAGAGAAGTAAAGACTGGTAGCATCTTTCAGATGAGCACCTAAAATTGGACCTATTTAATTGTGAAGACCAGTTTATAACTCATAATAATATAGTTTTATTCTTTATTTGCAGAAATAGTGAACTTAATAATTAAATCAAATCCCCTGAGCACAATTTAACCAGTCCCTGATGGTACAATTTAACCAATCCCTGATGGCTTAGGGTCACCATCCTGGCCACCAATGGCTGCGGCCATGCAATTACTCTCTCTCAGCCTTTGCTATCAATTGTCAGTCCTGCTGGCTGCTGCCCGCTGCTAGCAGCTTGACCTTCCTACTTTACTATTCTAATATGCAATAACCTAAGTAATGCAGGGTCCGGCAGAAGTAAGGTCTGTTTGAGTGTATTTGGTAGGGTAATAATATGGTTGTAATAATTTGTAGTTTTAATTTGAACATTTCACCTAAAATGTCATATGGTGTGCTTGAGTGTGATATTGTTATGTTACAGAATTACATACTTATGATTTTATGATAAAAGATTTTGTAATTAAAAAGGGGTGTCGTTTGTGCCACACCTCTGTATTTAACAGCTACATTTGTTAAAATTGTTCATAAAATAAGTCAATGAACTTCAAATGACTGTCTGAGAGCACCTCCAGTAAGTGCATGAACTTTGTGGAAAATATTTTAGTGGCTCAGAGACCCTTTTCCTTTTCTTTTAAAGATCTCTGCAGTGTTCCCAGATGAGGGGACTAACAGACACCAGAAAAATTACCAGAAGTTACTTATTGATATAAATTATCTACATAAATTATAGGTATATTATGAGGTTTTTATGTGTTGACATACTGTTTACTCTCCAAGAACACTAAAAAGATGGCACAGCAATTATGAGGAAGAAGGAAGTATGAATTTTATTAATGTACGTTTACATCCCTGTCGACGTGATCAGTGAGTTAAACAGGAGAACCCTGCCCCATCTTACAGAAGAAAACACTGACCCAACAGAAGGAACAAGTTGATTCATTTTCATTTTCTTCCCCCACATCCAGGCTAAGAGCACTTCTTACCTTACTGAACTGTCCAACCACATACTTCAGGATATTGGGAGGAGCATCATACAGAAATGGCTCTAGGGCTGGTAAATATGTGCATTTTTGTAAGATATTCTTTATGGCTTTTTTACTCTATTGAAATACAAAGCAAAATACATACCAAAGTAAGCAATCAATGAAATCTTCACAAAAATTCATGACTCATGTTCCAGGAATTTGAAAATAAAAACAATTTCCTGGTCTAAGCAGCAGTTGTTTCGTATTTTAAATGCACAATGAAAAATTTAAATTTTAATCTACTTATACCCAGTGGATCTAAAATATATAAATAGTCAAACGTATTATTCATTGTGAGTGAACTCAACTCCAAATACTTTAAATTGGAGGCTAGTGCTCTGTGAAGTTTCTTTTTTTAAATTTAATCTTTATTGTATTTTTTTCTGTTAAGAGTTAGTCCCCTGTACTCCACTTCCCCAGCAATGACAACAGTTGTTTTATTTTTAAAAAGTTGTCAGAAAAACTCCTATCTTTTATTATTTTTATAATAGAATACCCTACCAGTTCTCTTTGTGTCAAATTTTAAAATTAGAATGTATTATTGAGCTCTTAAAATACTTATGAGGAAACTGAAATTATAAATCATAAAGCTCTAGATTAAAATTAATAGTGTAAAAATTTGTATATAGAAACCATGAGAGCTAATGTCTCATTCTTTCCTTCAAATCAACAAAAATGCAAAAATACTTAGTTTACTGCAGGAAGCCATTATCAGGCATCCTGTTCTCCAAAAGGCTTCATGGCTTATAGGTATGTAGTCAGAAATATTCTGTATGCATTATTCAATGAGCATTTGTAGATACACTGCTATAGGTCATGGGTAGAAATTATCCCACTCACAGAGAGAAGCAAAACAGAATCTACTCAACCACAGAGGACAGCTGGACGACAGAGAGTGTATTACCTGCAGGTGCGTTTCCCACTCTGCCCCAGCACTCTATTTCATGGTGACACCGTGTCATGCTGCCCAGAGTGTAGCTGAAGAAGGGCTCTAATGTGACTGCAGCTCACTCCTGCAGCCAGCTTCAGAGCCATGGCTGGTTTTGATTCTCTTTCTTTGTATTATAGCCTGTCCCCTTCACTTTGGAAGGCTTCATGATTGGGTTTATCTACAGCTGTTTTCCGCTAGAAATCCACATCTGCTTGTATGTGTGTGGTTTATGCTTCAGTACATCCCTATAGCCTTTTGTCTCATCATCTGTCCTCTCTCTGAGGCCTTAGCTGACCTGGTCTTCTGGGATCTTGCTCTTCAACATTTAGCAATGCTCTTGAATGTCAAGGAACATTTTTACTTTCACATCATTAATTTTATAGTTGATAAATGTATTCTGCAAAAATTTTCATCACATTTGTGCTAATCAAGGAACTCTTGAATTTACAATTTCCCAGAATTATAGGCTAAAGCAGTCTTGTAATCTCTTATCTCTTGACACACTTGTCCTCAAATACTGGTTTATAAACTAGATTAAATAAAACAACAAATTTAGTAATACAATCCGAATTTTGCCCACAAGTAGTATAACACAAATTGTACTTAAACTCTCAATTCTCAACATAGCTAGTCATATTTTTGTGAACCATCTTAGGGCCATGGCGACTAAGCAAGTCAATCCATTTCTTTAAGATTTTTTATTTTTATTTATTTCTTTATCTTTAGAGGGGAAGGGAAGGAGAGAGGGAGAGAAACATCAATGTATGGTTGCCTTTCATGCGTCCCCTGCTGGGAACTGGCCTGCAGGGAACCAGCCTGCAACCCCGGCATGTGCCCTGACTGGGAATCTAACTGCGATTGTCTGGTTCGCAGGCCCGCGCTCAATCCTCTGAGCTACACCAGCCAGGGTCGCAAGTCAATAAATTTGATTTAGCTGGTGACAAGGTCTACTGATAGTGCAGCAGAGATCACATGCATTGTATCATGCAGACAGACTTACTCTAACAGCGCCAAATTGGTCATGTACTGTCAAGCTATTAATCAAGAACCCTAGAGGAACAGAACTTCTAATGACCCTAGAAATTCATTGAGCTTTACTATCCTTTGCCAAGAAATACACTAGATTTATGATTATATGAACACATATATTGCTACTTCTAGATAGGAATGTATGTCCTGATTAATAATCAGCTGTATTTCCAGCATGAAAGGAATATTCATATATTAATTAAGATTTTGTTCACTTGTCAATTTCTGGGCTTAAGTTTTTAACAACTTTATTGAGATACAACTTACATACCATTAATTCATTCATTTTAAATGCACAATTCAGTGGATTTTTAGTAAGTTTATAGAGTTGTGCACCATCAACACAATCTAATTTTAGATCATTTTCATCATCCCAGAATGAAACTTCATACCCATTTGTAGTCATTCTTTATTCCCTCACCCCACTTAACCCCAACATTCCTAGGCAACTACTATTCTAATTTCTGTCTATAAATTTGACTTTTCTGAACAATTCATATAAATGAAATCATATGATATATGAACTTTTGAGTCTGGCCTTCTTCACTAAGTACAATATTGTTGAGGCTCATCCATGTTATAGTGTGTATTAGTACTTCATTCCTTTTATTGTTAATAGTATTCCATTATACACACTTATCACATTTTGTTCATTCATTCACCAGCTGATGGGCACTGGATTGTTTCCACCTTTGGGTATTATGGATAATGCTGCTATGAAGATTTATATACAAGTCTTTGTACAGACAAATGCTTTCATTTCTCTTGGGAAGATAACTAGGAATGGAGTTGTTGGGTGCTGATGATAAATTTATATTTAACATTTTGAGAAACTGCTGACTTGTTTTACAATATAACTATGACAGTTCACTTTCCCAGTAGTAATGTAAGAAGGTTCAAGATTCTCTACATGATGGTCAGTACTTGTTACTATCCATTTTATGAATTATAGCCATTCGTATGGGTATAAAGTATTATCTCATTATGGTTTTGATTTGCATTTCCCTAGTGATTAATGATTTTTCACATCTCTTCATGTGCCGATTGGCCATTTTTATATTTTCTTTGGTGAAATTTGTATTCAAATCTTTGACCAATGTTTGAGTTATTTGTCTTATGATTGAGTTGTAAGAGGTCTTTTGTATATTGTGAATTACAAGTCCTTTCTCAAATATGTGACTTGCAAGTATTTTCCCAACTCTTTTCATCTTCTTCTTAATGGTGTTATTTTGAAGCATACAGGCTTTTAATTTTGATGAAAACCAATTTATCAACATTTTCTCTATTACTTGTGCTTTCTTAGGTGTCACGTCTAAGAAATTAATACCTTATCCAAGGTACAAATATTTATTCCCATGTTTTCCCTAAGAGTTTTATAGTCTTAAACTCATATTTATAACTTTGATCCACTTTAAGTGGCAGTGAAGCCAGCTGGGATTTTAATAGAGATTGTGTTGAATATATAGATAAATTTTTAGAGTATTGCCATCTCAACAATATTGAATCTTCTGATCCATGAACTTGGAATGTCTCTTCATTCAGATAGACAAATACCATATGATCTCACCTGTAAGTGGAACCCAATCAACAAAACAAATAAATGAGCAAAATAAAACCAGAGACATGGAAACAAGGAACAAACTGACAGTGACCAGAAGGGAGTGGGGAGGGGGATAATGGGGTAAAGAAGGGGAAGGGTCTAGTCAAGAAACATTTAAAGGACCCATGGTAATGGACAACAGGGTGGGGATTGACTGAGGGAGTGGGGTTGGGAGGGGCAAGGGAGAGCAATGGGGGGAAATTGGGACTACTGTAATTGAACAACAATAAAAAAAGTTACATGTTTTTCTAACAGTATGATGGGAAACATTTTCTTTCTTTGAAATTCTATAATTATTAAACAACTGGTCCAATTTTATATTCATGTTTTTAAAATCATTTTAGTAGTTTGTAATACTTTTTTTCAGAAAGCTGGATTTTTAAATGCATATTTTAAAATGTTTAATTTAATGAATAGTATGGACATTTTTCTTTCAAGGAACAAATTTAAGACATATAATTAAAAGACAAGGTGGACTTGGAGTTAGGAGAGATAGATCATGGCTTCAGGAACCCCTCTTGCCCAGTAATATTGTATTTCTGAAAGCACCTTAAATTCATGTGGACTCAATTTTTTAATGTAAGAAGGACTACAGTCCTCTGCAGCCAATTCTAACTCTAAAATTTTATCATTCTTCAATCCCTATTTTATAAGAAAAGCCATCAAGGAATGTAGAAGGCAACAACCAGACATTAATTTTACAAAGAACTTTGCATGTGCAGAAAACTTTCTTGAAGATACATCACTGATGTTTAGAGACGAGGGTATCCAGTTTTCAAAGAAGAGTCTCTTCGGTTCTTCTAATAAATGTTATTTCTTGACTCATAAAAGCAATATTGTCCATAATGAAAATTAAACCCTTTTAAATTACATGTTTTTAAGAATGAGTCAAAATCTAACAAATCTTCCTAAAACACTAAGAATTAAGCACTTACTTTTACTTGAAGATCCTCAGAGCTGTCTGCTGACATATACAGAGAAAGTAGAACTGGCAAAGTGTTTGTGACGGCAACAGCCCGCGCGTGCTCCGGAGTGTGTCTCCCAATCTGTCCCAAGGCCCAGGCAGTGGCAGCCTTAATATGGTCTTCTGGTTCTTCTGACAAGCAGACTGACAGCTGGGGCACACCCTGCAGCATTGATCAAAAGAGCAAGCAGGTGTTATGTCTCTAGAGCAGGGAAGTCAAGGGTCTTCCATGTTTCTTAAAGATTAGAAGAAATCATTTTGGCTTTGATCCTTTTATTCCTAGATGGTTCAGTAAGAGAGCACATCACAGGGGCTGTCATTTTTCAAGTCAATAAAATGGCTACAACAAATTTACCTCAACAATCCAACTAAACTAGGACTATCTGTGCTATTACTTATTCCCCAAATACAGAGACACTTAATCAAACAACAGATGCCACAGATTAGTACACTGGAAAAACCAGACTCCACTTTGACAAATTTAAAATGCTTCGATTTCAAAATCTTTTATTTTCTCTTGTTAAGAAAGTTAATTTAGAATCCTTTAAAATTGCCTTTTCACTATATAATAAATCTAACAATAAAGTAACTACTATAGATTTGAAATCCAATTAATAATATGAGCCAGAATTCTATTTAAGTAATTTTTAGATTAAATATATTCACTAAAACCTTTCCTAAAATATTAAATAAATTTTCATTAACTTTGGTCCACTTTTAAATGATAGTTTTGCCCATTTTAACATGATTGAATGGCAAAGTAGAATTACTCTTGTTACACAGATAATGTATGCTTATATTTTGTGCTTTGGATTTCAGTTTTATCTAAATAATCAAAATAATTAACTAAAGAACCCAAAAGACATCATGGTTTCTATATCTAAGGAAGAATCAAATAGCCAAATCAAATTATAATTCCAGATTCTGTATAGGGATAATTTTCTAACTAATTTGAGACTATAATAATGATCACCTTAAATTTAGTACCACAGAAGCCAATGTTATACTGTCATGCTACCATATGGTCATTGACAATGCAATTTGTCATTGCAATAGCAATATGTCATTGTCATGCTACCGTAGCAAAGGCCAAATGATCATATACACTTTTTTCCCCTGTACCTTTAAATTTAGTTAAGAACAATTTTCTGAAGAGACCTGTCATATTGCTTCATTGACTTCTTTCTTCCAAATAAAAATGGTTGTCTGCCAATACAAAAGGTGAGACCTGCCTTCAGAAGAAAACAACTTTCCAGAAAGTCCATATTCTGGGACATACCAAGACTGACGAAGCAGGAGGGATAATTGGCCTCCTCCCTCCCATCCTCCAAACTTTGACTTACTTGCCTTGGTTGTTATGAACAGCAAGTGAAGTAAGAAACATGAATGCACTTTGAAAATTATAAAGTATTATTTAAATGTGAAATGTTGTTATTAGTCCTTACAGTACTATGTAGGAAAAAGAATGACACAGGTAGGTTTGCCTAAAACTTCTGCTGCCACCTTGATCTTCAACTGAGAGACAGCTAGGTGGGAGAGGCCAGCAGCAACACTCATCCAAAGGAGGGAAGCACCTCCTGGTTAGTTTGGGGAGGAAATAAAGGAAGCAAAAGCAATTGCTGCTTCTTTCATCATTGTTCCTATGTGTAAGCTTTCTGACGATCCACAAAAGAGCCAAGAACCAGAAATCCCAATAATATCCCCGCGGCGACCCTTCAGAAAGCAGCACTTCTCTTCTAGTCTCTGTCGTAGTCTTCGGTGATAGAAGAACAAAAAGCAACGTGTAGGATAAAAAGCGAGCAAAGCAAAGAATTATCAAGGAATAAGTAGAAAATAAAGATCTGAAGCTCTCTTTTATTTTGAGGATTAGCAAGGAGGTTAAAATAAAATCCACAGTTCTGTTGAACATACAGCAGTGGGTTTTCTATGCTGGTAAGAAACCCACACCCCAGAGGGTTGCCAGAGACTCTGTAAGCACACAGCCTTCAAGTGTTCTTCAGGAGATCAATATTTATTCATTCAATTGGTATTTTTGAGTACCTACCATGTGTCAGGGCTACATTGTATGGTGGATTAATACCAAGTTATAAACTAAGATGAGACAATATTCCTAGAGAAAAGACATGAAACATCACTAGCTGACATGTCTCTGAATTGCCCTCATCTAAAAAGAGAAATAAGTTCATGAAAGCTGATGGAAAGTAGATAAAAAGGGATGTCCTAGCCATTGTCATCTCCCACCCAGTGACAGGAAAGGGGAGAATGAGTACTGGGCATGTAATGTCTTCTTTTTCTTTTTTTTAAATCATTTTTTAAACTATATTTTATTGATTATGCCATTACAGTTGTTCTATTTCCCCCTTCATTCCCCTCTACCCTGCACACCCCTCCCCCACCATTACCACCTTTAGTTTATGTCCACGTGTCTCAAGTTCTTTAGATTCTGTATTTCCCCTACTATTCTTGCCCTCCCTCCTATTTATTTTCTACCTACTGTCTATGCTACTTATTTTCTGTACCTTCTCCCCCCTTCTCCTCCTCCCACTCCCCTGTTGCTAACCCTCCATGTGATCTTCATTTCTGTGGTTCTGTTCCTGATCTAGCTGTCCTCTTAGTTTGCTTTTGTTTTAGGTGTGGTTCTTAATAACTGTGAGTTTGCCGTCCTTTCACTATTCATCAATTTTGTCTTCTTTTTCTTAGGTAAGTCCCTTTAACATTTCATATAATAAGGGCTTGGTGATGATGAACTCCTTGAATTTGATCTTACCTGAGAAGCACTTTATCTGCCCTTCCATTCTAAATGAAAGCTTTGCTGGATAGAGCAATCTTGGTTGTAGGTCTTTGGATTTCATGACTTGGAATACTTCTTTCCAGCCCCTTCTTGCCTGTAAGGCCTCTTTTGAGAAATCAGCTGACAGTCTGATGGGAACTCCTTTGTAGGTGACTGTCCCCTTATCTCTTGCTGCTTCTAGGATTCTCTCCTTCATTTGAATCTTGGCTAATGTAATGATGATGTGCCTTGGTGTGTTCCTTCTTGGGTCCAACTTCTTTGGGACTCTCTGAGCTTCCTGGATTTCCTGGAAGTCTATTTCCTCTGCCAGATTGGGGAAGTTCTCCTTTATTATTTGTTCAAATAAGTTTTTCACTCGTGGCTGTTCCTCTTCCCCTTCTGGTACCCCTATAATTCAGATATTGGAGTGTTTAAAGATGTCCTGGAGGTTCCCAAGCCTCTTCTCATTTTTTTGAATTCTTGTTTCTTCATTCTTTTCTGTTTGGTCATTTTTTTCTTCCTTCTGGTCCACTCCATTGATTTGAGTCCCAGTTTCCTTTCCATCACTATTGGTTTCCTGTGTATTTCCATTCATTTCAATTAGTTTAGCCTTCACATGTTCCTCTAATTTGTGACTAAAATCAACCAGTTCTGTGAGCATCCTGATCACCAGTGTTTTGAACTGTGCATCTGAAAGTTTAGCTATTTCTTCATTGCTTAGACTTATTGGCTCTGGGGCTCTGAGTTGTTCTTGAGCCGTGTTTTTATCTGTTTGTGCCTTTTATGTATGAGGAGCGAAGCCTTAGTTGTTCACCAGGGCGGGGCCACTCAGGTCACTGGTTTGTGAGGCTGTATGTGGGGGCGGGGTCAGAGAGGGACAATGGCGGTCCCCTCTGCCACTTTCTGCCACTGGGGTCTGCGTGGTCTGTCTCACTGCTAGCTCCTTCACCGGTTTATCTGCGTGCTAATGTGTGACTGTGATCAGGCCTCAGTGGGTCCACCGCCTTGCGCCCTCAGTGGGTCTGCCCGCTTCTCCACACCTGGGATCAACCCACGGCTGCTGGCATACCTGGGTTGCACGCCCGGGTCAGTCTGGTGGATCTTTTCTGCCTGACCTCGCTCTGCTGCTGGCTCTGCCCCTCTTACCGGTTTGGCTGAAGGGTTCGTTGTTGTCAGACTTCCGTGTAGTTCAATTTTCTGTGGTTTGGCTGCGTTTTTGTTGCTAAAACTTTGTTGTTTTTAAACCTAGTTGTGCTAGAAGGCGCAGTGCTTCCACCTATGCCTCCATCTTGGTGGAAATCCTCCATGTAATGTCTTTAATCAAGTATGCTTTACACTTTGTAAATATATTCAGTCAATCCTTCAAGATGAACTACACTGAATATTTCAAAACAGATAATCCTAATACTCAGAGGTATTGATATTTTGTAGCTCTTAAATGCTGAGTAAAACTTAAAACTGCCTACAAAATAAGCCTTATATATTCTAGCACTGCTTTTAGAAACTTACTAATCAACCTTGAACACAAGCTGAAAAATTCTTCAGGTTTCTTTTTCTCTGGTCAGTCACATTTTATAATCTATGGGAGAGTGTTACTGTGATTCTTAGAATATCTCACTACAATAACTAGAAGAAAATCAAGCAAGAGCAAACCTTGGAAATGATCACTGCCATCGCCAGGTTCTCAGAGTGAGCCGCCACATAGCCCAGCATCATGATGCCAGGCAGCCTTATGCTTCCTTTGCAAGACCCAATGCAGTCGATGATGGCAGCAACTCCTCCTGTGTTAACTATCAACTGCGAAAGCTAAGGGAGAGGAAGGATAGCTAGGTAATTGTGGCCAGAAGACATAAAATAATCTTTGAGTATTACTTTAGTATTGCCAAACATTTTTACTCAAGATCTAAAAACACCTGGTAAAATTTGAAATACGATTTAGTGAAACTACTTATTAAAGAAATACATGAGTACAATAATCCTATTTTATTTTATTTTTTTAAAGATTTTATTTATTTTTTAGAGAGAGGGAAAGGAAAGGGAATATCAGTCAGTTGCCCTGAAACCCTGGCATGTGCCCCTGACTGGGAATCAAATCTGGGAAGCAACCTTTTGATTCACAGGCCAGAGCTCAACCCACTGAGCCACACAAGTCAGGGTATAATAATCCTATTTTAAATGTACAAATATATTCACTGTGTGGTGATTCTTCTGTGCTTCAAGTTTTCATGCATTAACGGCACAATTTATATCCCTATTCTAATGGTTGTCAAAATTCCCCACCTGGACACTAAGCTTAGGGCCAGTTCTTAACTAGCTAACTACAGAAAGTCCCAATCATGATGTGTGAGTAGAAGGAGATTCATCACTAAATATTTCAAATGTCAGATTTGAAATATTCTAGCTTAATTATTCCCCCTTTGCAAACAATGATTGCTAGCTGATTCTATCCAATCATAAAAATTTCAACCAAGTAAAGATATTAGGTGAAATTATGAGGACTATATACACAGAAAAAGATTCAACTTCAGAATCCACCCGGGCTTGCTTCATCTCTATGCCTTTGGCATCTAAGAACTCAGAGAGGGAACCACCATGTAAGAGCAGCTACTACAGCAGTTACACGGGGCTGGGGGCCTGGTCTCTCTCACCCTGGAACTGTACATACAACCTCTCACTACTCTCAGCTGACCTGAAATGACAAGAATGGCAAAGGACTATGGTCCCTACAGTCTAGAAATGTAAAAAGGGGAAACAATTAAAAACTGAGATTTTTTTCTCTGACTCCAATGATATAAGCCAGTGGGGTTCTCAACAATGGGCACTTTTGTCCTTTGGTAAACATTTGGCAATATATGGAGACAGTTTTGATCCTCACAGGGTGGGAAGGCATGCTACTGGCAGGGGCCAAGGATGCTGCTAAATGTCCACCCTGCAGCGTACAGAACAGCTCCCCACAACAAAGGATTATCTAGTCCAGAGTGTCCATGGTGCTCAGGATGAGAAGCCATGATCTAACCAAACCATGAGGCAGAGCACCTAGGTCTTTTACACAAATCTATGTTTTACTTAACAATGAAAACGGACTAATATTGTTGTATTTAAAGCTGGTTTGTTTTTTGTTGTTGTTCTGTTTTGTTTTACCTCAGGGGTATGTTTTGCAATCTCTCTAATCAAAGTGGAAGCATTTTTCTTCACGTATTCATCTTTGTCCTTCAGGCAGGTAAGTACAACTGGAAAAATCTCTGCTTCAACCACCATTTCTGCCAGATCCACAGAATGTTTTGCAATCTGCCCAAGAGCAGAAAGGACCTGACGCTGTTAAGCAAAAACCAAAATAAAACAAAATATTAGGTAGAGTCCTGTGCAGAGTTCAGATATGATTTAAACAGCTTTATACAGTCAAATTCCTTTATAAAAAGAAAAAACAATTACATATCCAGCATAACCTAAGATTTCTGAGTCTTGAGACATTCACATCCTAGTCTTATACTTAAATACTCAATTTCTTAAGTCCCCTAATTTCCAATTTAAATGTCTTAGTTCTCTGTGGACTGTTTAAATCTCTATTATAGATGATCAAAGAATATGACCTTTGGATAAATACTGTTTCTTAACTATGTAAAACTTAAATTGTTAATTTACAATACATGTGATGATATAGTACAAAAAGATCAGGCATAACTGACATTTTTGGCATGATGCTGATAACATTTCAAAGAACTTCTCATTGCTCAGTTAACATTAAAAATTTTGAAACCTGGTAGAATATAACTATTAACATATAAAAGTACACTTGGTGACTATTAACTGAAAATCAGATTTTAGAAAGCTACAGGAAAGAAATATGACAATTTTCATAAGGAACTTAAATGTAATAGTGGTGAGCTAGAAAAATTTTAAGTGCCTTCCCACCTTCAGATTCAATCATTATGTGATTTCCTTATTTTAGTGATTAATGTTAATACTGATGCTACTTCTAATTTTTAGCATTGCACATATTTTTCCCAATCATGTCTTTATTGCCTAATCTTTACAGCATAATATTCACTTATTAGAAGACCAAATACATAATATAGTCACATTTGTTTTCAATGATAATTTACAAATTATTTTGAATGTATGATATTAATCTATACACAACTCCATTTTCTTAGATTAACAGAAGTCTGTTTTTTAACATTTTTAAATACCTTCAGTTTTGCATTAGGGTTCAGAATCATCCGGGCTAAGTGAGCAATGGCTCCTGCGTCCACTACTGTCTGTGCTAACTCTGGAGAATGCTCTGAAATATCACTGAGGACCGAAGCAGCAATCCTTTTCAAAGCAATTTCTGGCTCCTGGATACAGAGTATTAGAAGAGGAACTGCTCCCGCATCCACCACAGCTTGTGACAGTTCTGTGGATCCAGGGAAAGTAATTGCAGGTGAGTGACTGACCCTTGTGCAAGCAGCCCATTTTTCACCCTCACGGATACAGCAAAGAAAAAAATGGGAGGGGCATCTGTACCCCTCTTTACTCTCTCGACATCTGTGTTTCAAATCAGCTTTCTTGGTTTCATAAATCATGTGGACCAATCTTGAGCTGAAAAGCATACAGGTCAATAGATGGACCTCTATTTACATGAACACATTTGAAGGAGATTAGACCAAAACAGCTTGTTGTTCTTTTTTTTCCCTTCTACAAGAATAAGCAGATGTCAGCTGTTTAAGCTCTGACAATTCTGCACTTCTCAAAAGGCAAGCATTTTATGCATGGTTTACAATAACAGAAAATTAAAGTACCAAAAATTAACCAACCATACTAATTAGGCAGTATTTTGTACTATTTACATGAGTAAACATTAACATGAATGTTGTGCTAATAAAGTTGATTTTAAATTCCATTCATCTTACAGTATTTTTAAGATTTTGAAAACTTTTTACAAAATAAAAAGGTGCATTATATTGTATATATAAAAACACTTTCAAAATGAGATCTACAACTAAACAGCACACTTTTATATATATAAATGTTAATATTTCTTTAGATAAAGTGGTAAATTAATCTTAACCATTTTACTTGTCAGAAATAAACATCTTCTGAGCTCTGGCTGGTGTGGCTCAGTGAATTGAGTGCCGGCTTTATGAACCAAAGGGTCACAGGTTCTATTCCCAGTCATGGCACATGCCTGATTTGCAGGCCAGGTCCCCAGTAGGGGGTATGTGAGAGGCAACCACACATTGATGTTTCTCTCCCTCTCTTTCTCCCTCCTTCCCCTTCTCTAAAAATAAATAAGTAAAATCTTTTTTAAAAAAGAAAGAGAGAAATATCTTTTGAATATACATGTTGATTTACTTGAGTTTCCAAGAATAACAGCTACAAAAGTAACACATTTTAAATTATATAGACTATGAGAGACAGTCAGGTAGATGCATACAGGGTCCTGCACAAATAATGCCCCTCTTTTATTAAAAAATCCTTATTCCCAAATCTTAAGTATGTAATTCTATAACACGACAATATCCCATTCAAGCACACCATATGACATTTTAGGTGAAATGAGCAAATTGCTGTCCACCTCATGTGAGACACACACCCCACCAACCACGCTCAAGTAGGCCTTACTTTCTGCTGGACCTTGTATAATCTGCATGTAAAAAAATGTCTCTTGAGAAGCCTAAAGCATAATCCATAGTTCTCTTTGGAAAACCCTTAAGTATCCACCCAGCCATCGTCCCCAAAACCAGTTTCAATAAACTTTTGTCCATTTCCAAATAAAACATTAAAAAAACAATGCTACAATAACATTTTTATGAGTATAGTTTTTTTATTCTGTGGAATTCTTTACTTAGGATGAATTCCCAAAGCAGGCCTTCTAGAGTAACTATAAACCATTTCGTGACTTAGATTAGTTCTACCAAACAACTTTGCTCAAGTTTATACAATTTGTCGTGCCTCCACCAACAGGCATAAACATTATCAAGTCCTCTCTAACCTTCAGTATCAATACTGATACCTTTCATTTTCTGAATATTTACCATATGCCAAGCACTCTCCTAAATGCTTCACATGCAGCATCTCATCATCCTCACAACGTATCTCAGTGGTAGCTCCCGTGAACATCCTACAACAAATCCTGAAGTAACTCTGAAGTGATTACCCTCTTTTTGCAGATAAGGAAGTAAAGGTTCTGAAAGTTTAAAACTCATATCCAATGTCATATAGCAACTAAGTGGTAGAACTTGGACTCAAACTCTGGTCCAGTCTGACGCCACGGTGCTCTTAGCCACTCAGCTCTATTTCTGCCTTACTCTCCCCCCGCCCCAAGTAATAAAAGAGGGAAAGATATTTGCACTAATGTTTTAATACACAGTTCTTGATTACTAGCAAAGCTGATCATTTTTACATATGTTTGTTAAACTGTTTATTCTTGTTGTATTATTTATTCATATAATTTAGCAGTTTTGTTCTCTATGTACTTTTTACTGACCAGGTGTATCAGCACAACTTTACGCAGGAGGTCCTGGCACCGAATTGTTATTTTCTAAGAAAAGGTGGTCCTTCTCTTTCTCCTCCTTCCTTCCTGCCCAATACAGACTGAATACAAAATGTTCTAGAAAGTTATGTCCATATCTTTTTAACGTTACTCACTCATATGATATGGCCCCTGGATGATTTAGAATGCCCTATACTATGAGTAAGAGTGATGACTCAATGTACCCTGAAGGATGACAAACTAAAGGCATTTCTTAAATGAGAATTTGAGAATTAATATCTCATTTGCCCCATTTTCTGCCCCTCCTTTCCCTCTATAAATTTCCCCTCTCCTAACAGATAAAAGCTGGGATGTATAGATTTGTGTGTGTGTGAATTTGTAATTCAAACAACTTGGGCATCATTCAAAGCTTATCTTCTACAATGTAAAGAAACATCACTAAAAACTCACCTATGCTTTACTAATCAAAGCCAGATTTGCCTAATAAATATAAACTTTAATAATCCTATTTTAACTTACGCTCCATTACCTGCATTATGTCTTGCAATATTTCCAAGGGCCCAGGCCACCGCCTCTTTAACTCCCGGGTCGAAATCTTCCAGGCATATCACCAGCGTATCCAGAGCTCCACAATCAACTATTGCCTGAGCTAGTTGAGGAGAATGTTTACCAACTGCTCGTAACACAAAGGCAGCTGCTTTCTTGTAGAAACGCTACAAGGATAAAATAGACAAAGTAACTAAAATTCGAAGTGAGTTGAGCACTTATATAACAAAAAGTTAGAAGAAGACAAAAACCAATGTCAAAATAACATTAATGTAATAAAGTTCAACAGCTCTTAAATAGGAAAACATCCCACATCATTTTTTTATGTTCTCTGTTGCTTTTGTTTAGTAACTAAACAAAAACAATGTAAGTCTTAAATTACATTCCAAATATTTTATTCTAAAAGATGATTTTATAAATAAAATATATTTCCTGCAAAATTTATATCCTACAAATTCATAAAATAATGAGATTTTTACATATCTGTGTTACACTAAAAGTATTTGACCCCGAGGAACTCAGATTGTCCACATGACAACTAAACTGTCAAACTCATTTCCTTTACCTGCCCTCAGTCTTTAAGCCTGGTAGGCTTCTCATGGCCTTAACTAGGTGTTCTTTCTAGTGTTCTAAGTTATCCTGAAATAGCCAAAATGCAATTATCAATCACTGAATAAACACAAAGGCAAAACATTTATGATACATTTTAAAACTTTTCCTGGCACAGAAACTATCCAAACAATGAGATACAATATTTATCCCTTTTTAGAAGTGCTTTTTTAAAAAGGCACTTTAAAAAGAAATACAGGCCCTGGCTGGTGTAGCTCAGTGGATTGAACGCAGGCCTGGAAACCAGAGGATTGTGGTTCAATTCCCAGTCAGGGCACATGCCTGGGTTGCAAGCCAGTTCCCTGCAGGCCAGTTCCCAGTAGGGGACGCACTAGAGGCAACCATACATTGATGTTTCTCTCCCTCTCTCCTTCCCCTCTAAAGATAAATAAATAATTAAAAGATAATTAGAGCAAAACCCTTTAAAAAATAAAAAAATAAAAAGAAATACAAATGTGAATTTTTATCACATACAAATGTGATACATCATCTTACCATGATGTGAATTTTAAGTAATGCTTCACATGTATAATATTTTCTACATATAAATTTTATTAGATTAAGACATAAAAACTGAAATATGATTTTCTTCATGTAGCCAAGAAAATTAAATGTTTAGAAAGCATTTAGCTCGAAGTCTCACTGTGGTTGTATGGTTCACATAATGATACAGTAATGGTCTCCTAACTCTTCCTTTTATTAACAGAACCCAGTTAACCCTCTACTTTAAATTCTGTTTCTATTTCCATTCAGTGACTACTAAAAAGCAACTGGGAGTCATAACAGCTGTTTTGAAAGTATTCTATTTACTTAGACTAAAATATTAAGATACAAAAAATTTATAGGAGAAAATATATCAAGTATATTTTTAACATTAAATCTTAAAACCTAGTATGTATTGATGATATAAGAAATATGCTATTTGGTAAAGATATTTTAATTTTATATATTTCTTTGGTTTCTTAAATGTAACATATGTAGATATTAAAACATGTGTTGTAAAGTTTAATTTTATGTCAGTAACCAAATAGCTACTAATTTATTGCAAAGATGATAATAGAGTTTTAAAGTAGCTTTCCACAGATTTTCTTGTAATTGTGGAAAAATAATGGTGATACATTTCTTATCATTACCGTAAGCTAACTTGACTTTTTATATTGTAGAATTTTCAAACTTACAATTTCTTTGCTGTTAATAGTCACTACTAACTACAGTGCCTATAATTTACATTTTCTGACCTCCTTCTCTCTTTATTCTAATACCTGCTTCCTTGAATTCCTCTCTTCTCTCCCACTTCTCATCAAAGAAATTTCCTTTCAAAAAAAAGCAAAAGAACTTTGCTCCCCATAAAGACAGATTAAATCTCCTGTGAGAAATGAGTTAAAGGACTGGCAGGTGAAGAAGACAGAAGCTTTTGAATTTTGCTTACATTCTTACATTCTCATACTTTCCTGACTTAATACTCTCTATCTCTTTATAACTAACAGACATCATTTACATGGAAAACTTCTATTAAGAACCTTCTAAAAAAAACCTTCTATGTGGGATACCAAAATACACACTCTGCCATCAAAAGATGGAGGTAAGAGTCCAGAAAGAAGAAAGTCTAACATTATTTGATAATAGAAGGAATACCTGCAACAAAAATAAAGTTTCTGTCACTCCTTGTAGAGATAAAACAGTCATTAGTGAATAACTCTCCAATTTATAAAAATGAGGCAAATTTTCAACAAAAGAATTTGTTTACTTTTAAAAATGCCGGCAAAATACACATGACATAAAATTTACCATTTCAATCATTTTAAAGTATACAATTCAGTGGCGTTTAGTGCCTTCACAATATTGTGCATTCACAATATTCTGGAACCTCTGTAGTTCCAGAATATTTTTTAAAAGATTTTACTATATTTTTAGAGAGAGGGAGAAGGGAGGCAGAAAGAGAGGGAGATATTGGTGTGAGTGAGATACATCCATCTATGGCCTCTTGCAAGCTCCCCAACCAGGGACCCGACCTGGTCTGCAACCCAGGCATGTAACCTAACTGGGAATCTAACCTATGACCTTTCTCCCTTTGCAGGACAATGCCCAACCAACTGAGCCACACCAGTCAGAGCTGTAGTTCCAGAATATTTTTATCAACCCAACAAGGAACCCCATATGTGTTAAGTAGCCACTCCTCATTCCCCTCTCCCCTAGCCCTGGGTAACCACTAATCTGCTTCTGTCTCTGTGGATTTTATATATTGGGGATATTTCATATAAATGGAATCATATAATATATAGCTTTTGTGTCTGGCTAAGCATAACGTTTTCAAGGTTCATCCATGTTGTAGCATTTATCATTACTTGATCCTTTTTATGGCTGATAATATTCCACTGTATGGACATATAACATTTTGTTTATCCTGTAATGCTTTTGGCTATTATGAATAATGCTGCTATGAACATTTGTGTACAAGTTTTGTTTGAACACCTGTCTTCAGTCCTTTTGGAAACATAACTAGAGCAGAATTCCTAGGCCATATGGTAATTATGTTTAACTTACTGAGGAACCGCCAAGCCGTCGGAAGCAGCCGCACCATTTCACACTTCTGCCAGCAAAGTACAAGGGGTCAAGCATCTCCACATCCTCATTACCACTTGTTGTTTTCCTTTATTTTTCTCTATTATTATGGCCAACCCAGTAGGTAATGTGCTATCTCGTGGCTTTGATTTGCATTTCCTAATGACTAAAGCTGTTGAACATCTTTTCATGTTTATGGGCCACAGGTACATCTTCCTTGAATAATTGTCTATTCAAGTCCTTTGCCCATTTTTAATTGGATTGTTTGTCCTTTGGTTACACAAGTAGGAATGCAATCTTAAAGATTTGTCAAGAAAGATATATCCCTAGTTAAGATAAACTAACAGAATGGAATGAACAGTCCAAGACCCTACCTACAGGAAGGTCCTTTACTGCTATTAGGTACTGGTAGGTGGCGTGTACAGAGACATGGAGTGGGACCAGGCAGAAGGAGAAACGGATATTGGGGCACTCTTAGGTGACCCGTAAAAGGCCTGACATCCTTGCATACTGGTAAAATGCTTTATAAAACCTTCCATTAAACAGTCTTCTCCCTTTTGGATGCTTCTCTCCCCTTTGCTCCAAAGCAATCTGTTATAGTTGCCATCAACCTGTATATAATTTTACCTGTATATAAAGATTTCTGTAAACAACTTTTTGTTTGCCCAAGGCTTTATATCCTAAGCCTTAGTCTATAATTTTAATACTCTGATACACAGAAATACTGCTTTATGTATACCTCCATTACATTTTTAAATCTGTTAATACAATAATGGAAAATAGCTGCATACCAACCTCAAAGTAGAATACCTTCCTGATGCTATGTTCAGTTTAGAGAAGTGAAGGTGTGTTAACAGCTTAATAATTCTAAGGCCTGTAACCTTGCAAATGCATCCAAACTATCAAAATTTTTAAGTGAAAAACATAACATTAAAAAAATTCTTACATTCTGTTCTGCCAATGAATAAACAAGCTGTGGAAGGATGTCGCCCTTCACAACTGCTTCTGCTAGGTCATCATTATAATTAGCCAGTCTCCCAAGAGCCAAAACAGCAGTCTGTTGAATTGTTGGGACCACATCCAGAAGAAGAGGCCTCAGCAAAGACATTACACCTGAATTAAATTATGAAGGAACAGAATTAGCAAAATTTAAATTTAAAAACAAACATACAGTTCGGCACATAAGCAAGTAAGAAAATGAAGGGGAAACCAGCAAAAACAAAAAATTAGCCACTATAAACTAATGGGATATTTAGAAGTATATAACTGTCCAAGACACAGAATAATATAACCTATAATTATCAAAGCAGCGTAGTGTGGAAATGAGAACAGCTTTGGGTTTAGAGAAGAGTTTAAACCCCCGATTTGTTAGATACTAGCTATGTGACCTGCCAGGGCTGCCACGACGAATGTAAAGAAAGGTTGTGAAGCACATAGTATAATGCCTGGCACTATACTATGTGCTAGGGATTCCTCCCCCCGCCCCTCCCCTTTGAAAATCCTATCTTTCAGGGCTCAGCTCAGATCCTTCCCTCTCAATGAAGTCTTTCTTTCTTTCTTTTTTTCTCTGATTCCAAATGAAAGAGTTTATTACAGAAATTTTGTCAGGATCTATCTCAGAACCAGAGGAGCTTGCAGTGCCATTTGTCCAGGCTGCCTTCATGAAGGGCTGCAAATCAGAATTCTGACATTATCTCCAAATAAGTAAATTATTTGATATAAAAAAGTATATCAGCTCTCGTAAAATTCATTTGAGGGTTGAATGGGTAGTAGGTATCTCATCCTCACAACAATGATAAAAGTAGCTTATATTTATGGAGCATTTATATGCATGCATTGTTTTAAGAATTTGTTTTGCATATTATTAATTTACTGAACTTTCATGACAAACCTATGATGCGGGCCCTATTATTATGTCTATTTTACAGATGAGGAAATTGAGGCTGAGAAAGCTTAAAAATTTTGTCACACAATTAATAAATGGTGGAGCAAGGTTAGAAATTCTGACATTCTTGCCCTGACCAGTGTGGCTCAATTGGTTGGGCATCATCTCGCAATCGAAAGGGTGCTGGTTCTATCCCAGGTCAGGGTACATGCCTGGGTTGCAGGCCTGGTCCCTGGTTGGGGCAGTTGCAAGAGGTGACCGATTGATGTTCCTCTCCCTTTCTTTCTCCCTACCTTTCTCTCTCTCTAAAATAAGTAAGTAAACACTTTTAAAAAAAGAAATTCTGCTATTTTATTAATTTATTTTATTTTATTAATAACTGCTAAATAAATAATAATATGTATTTAAAACTGAGGAAGTAGGGGAAGGGAGACAAATAATTGCATTTTGGTCATCTTATTGGATATTCCAACTCTTTATATTAGCTTTGCCTTACTAGAAAATCTGTAAAATACTTAAAGCTTTTGTGCTTTAATGATGGTATATCAGTCTAAGGTTATAAGAAAGGTAATGTAGTTCAAACCAAATGAAGTACCCCTTGACTTTCTAAACTTTATATAATTTACAGCAGGCTATTCAACTGATGTTGCTGTATCTTCTCTATAAAAACATATTCCAGTGATCTATAAAAGCATATATTACCATAATCTTTTATAATGTTATATCTAGAAACATTTTATTTTTTATTTAAAGTATTTTATTTATTTATTTTTTTAGAGAGAGAGGAAGGGAGGGAGAAAGAGAGGGAGAGAAACATCCATGTGTGGTTGCCTCTTGCGTGCCACCTACTGGGGACCTGGCCCAAAACCCAGGCATGTGCCTCAGACTGTGAATCAAACCTGGGACCCTTTGGTTTATAGGCGGGCACTCAATCCACTGAGCCACACCAGTCAGGGCCAGAAACATTTTAAATAGAATAAAAGGAAAACACTTACAGTAACTTTTAGGATTGGGCTAAAGTATGATACATAGTACTCCCAAATAACATAAACAAAGAATGATGCTTATCTCAGACACATTTAATGATGTGACCTGTGGCTTTCCACAGTTTCCAATTTCATTTAGTGGTCATTTTTATGTCTAAGTTCGCTCAGTTACATCATCATATACAAGGCCACAAGTGCACGTTTGAATACCACGCAAGCTAATTAACTTGCAGACACAAAGCACTCCTGCTCAAGCTGAGGTCATAGCTCCTGTTAGACAAACCAACGTGTCTGCTCATAAGTGCTCTTTAAACTATTATCTATACTTTTTTTATAGCGATATTTCAGAAATATCTCCCAACAAAGTTTAAAGCACAGAGCAAGGTATTAGAATTACTACCAAGTATTAACATAGGTTCTTTCTAAAAAGTTGGGTTTCAAACAACTTGTCAATCTCTTCTTTGTAGTTTGCTTTATTACTTGTTTATTTTTTAATTGTGGTAAAATACACATAACATAGAAATTACCACTTAAACCATTTTTAGTGTACAATTCAGTGGTACCTAGTACATTTCCAATGATATGTAATCATCTCCACTATTTAGAAAATGTTATGCTGTTTTCTACAGAAGCTTCACAATTTCACATTCCCACCAGCAAAATTTAAGGCCTCAATGTCTCCACATCTTCATCAACATCTATTTTCCATGTTTTTTTAAAAATAATAGCCATCCCAATCAGCATGAAGTGATATCTCATTGTGGTTTTGATTTTTATTTCCCTAGCATTAGTGATGGTGAATGTCTTTTTATGTGCTTGTTGGCCATTTGTATATCTTCTTTATTGAAATGTCTGTTCAAATCCCTTTCCCATTTTAATTGGGTTGTTATTAATTGTTGAATATAGCTTGTCATTTTTTATAATAAATATCCACCACTTAAAAAAGAAAGGCTGCCCGGACTGGTGTGGCTCAGCTGGTTGGGTGTTGCCCCACAAAGCGAAAGGTCACTGCTTCCAGGGCTCACGCCTGAGTTGCAGGCCTGCCTCAGTAGGGGTGCATGTGAGATGCAATTGACGGATGTTTCTCTCCCTTTCTTTCTCCCTCCCTTCCTCTCTCTCTAAAAAAATAAAGTCTTTTTAGAGGACTTCCGCCAAGATGGAGGCGTAGGTGGAAGCACTATGCCTCCTCCCACAACCGAGTTTAAAAACAACAAAGTTTTAGCAACAAAAACACAGCGAAAACCACAGAAAATTGAACTTCACAGAAGTCTGACAACAACGAACCCTTCAGCCAAACCGGTAAGAGGGGCAGAGCTAGTAGCAGAGCGGGATCGGGCAGGAAAGATCCACTGGACTGACCCAGGCGCATGACCCAGGTGCACAGGCAGCCGTAGGTGGATCCCAGGTGTGGCGAAGTGGGCAGACCCACTGAGGGCGCAAGGCGGTGGACTCACTGAAGGCTGACCACAGTCACACATTCGCGCGCAGATAAACCAGTGAAGGAGGGAGTGGTGAGACAGACTGTGCAGGCCCCAGTGGCAGAAAGTGGCAGAGGGGACTGCCATTGTCCTCTCTGACCCCACCCCCACCTACAGCATCGCAAACCAGTGACCTGGCTGGCCCCGCCCTGGTGAACAACTAAGGCTCTGCTCCTCATACCTAACAGGCACAAACAGATCAAAACATGGCTCAAGAAGAACTTAGAGCCCCAGAGCCAATAAATCTAAGCAATGAAGAAATAGCCAAACTTTCAGATGCACAGTTCAAAACACTGGTGATCAGGATGCTCACAGAACTGGCTGATTTGAGTCACAAATTAGAGGAACATATGAAGGCTAAACTAATTAAAATGAATGGAAATGCACAGGAAACCAATAGTGATAAAAAGGAAACTGGGACTCAAATCAAGGGAGTGGACCAGAAGGAAGAAAAAAATGACCAAACAGAAAAGAAGGAAGAAACAACAATTCAAAAAAATGAGAAAAGGCTTGGGAACTTCCAGGACATCTTTAAACACTCCAATATCTGAATTATAGGGGTACCAGAAGGGGGAAGGGAACATCCACCAGTGGAAAACTTATTTGAACAAATAATAAAGGAGAATTTCCCCAATCTGGCAAAGGCAGTAGACTTCCAGGAAATCCAGGAAGCTCAGAGAGTCCCAAAGAAGTTGGACCCAAGGAGGAACACACCAAGGCACATCATCATTACATTAGCCAAGATTCAAATGAAGGAGAGAATCCTAGAAGCAGCAAGAGATAAGGGGACAGTCACCTACAAAGGAGTTCCCATCAGACTGTCAGCTGATTTCTCAAAAGAGTCCTTACAGGCAAGAAGGGGCTGGAAAGAAGTATTCCAAGTCATGAATTCCAAAGACCTACATCCAAGATTGCTCTATCCAGCAAAACTTTCATTTAGAATGGAAAGGGCAGATAAAGTGCTTCTCAGATAAGATCAAATTCAAGGAGTTCATCATCACCAAGCCCTTATTACATGAAATGTTAAAGGGACTTAATGGAAAAATAATGTCAATAAAATGACACACAAGAATAGAAGGAGAGGCTTTCCTTCTATTCTTATGTTCAGTGTCCGTGTTAGGCTTCTGCGTGGAAACTTCTGCTCTATTGTGCTTTCCCTATATTCATTAGTTCAGAAAGTCACACAAGAAGGATTTCAAAAGTTTTAAATCTCTGAACCTATAAAAGTAAAAGCTGAAGTTTCCATTAAAATATATTTGTTTGGGGGATAGAGGCAGGTAGAGAGAAAAAAGGGGGAATAAATGGTGATGGAAGCAGACGACTTTGGGTGGTGAACACACAATACAATATACAGATGATGCATTATAGAAGCTTACCCTTGAAGTGTATATAATTTTGTTAGCCAATGTAACCCCAATAAATTCAATAAAAATAAATAATATATCTGTGTTTGAATAAGAGTGTTCTTTTAGAGAAAATAACTGCCCCAGATTTCTAGTCCTTAAATTGCTTCTTAGTACTTTATAATCATTAGCCCCCAGCAACATGATTTTTTTTATCTCTTACACAGATTAAACATGGAGACTGTGATATTTAATGACACATTTGTCCTAAAAATACAATAATGATGCAAGAGACATTGAGTTGGGGGGGGAGGGGAGGAGAGAAGAGCAGAGGGAAAAGTAGTATATATAACATAAAAAGAAATTTTTTCCTTACTTGCCTGTCCATGAGGAATCCATAGTGATTGATTCTTGGTGAGAGAATGCACAAAAATGTATAGTTCATAAACTGCAGCAGTCTGAATAGTTGCTGTAATATCTGATATACAAGGTCTCTAGGAAACAACTAAGGGCCTCATTGTGGTGTCCACTGGAGGAACCAACAAGAGCTATCTAATTTCTAATATTAAAAATAATTCATGTATTATATGGTAATATCTCTAAAATAATTCAATCTATACAAACTGATAAAATAGTGTAAAACTATTTTTGAAATTTATAGGATCTTTACAATTCTCCCCCTCTCCCAACTTTATGGCTTTGAGTTCCTCTTCTAGTTTTCTTTTTCCAGTGCCATACCTGAGACATTGCTGCTGATACCTACATTGCAGCCCAGTTATGCCCCAAACAAAAATAACTTTGCTGATCCTGCCACAATTGTTCATTCAAAAAAACAGACTGGGGTTTACTAAGTGGCAAGGAGTAGAACTACATGTACAAGTTAAGGAGGCTCCTATTCTCAAGAAACTAATAATCAGGTGGATGCAATTGTAAAGTAGCCTCAAAATAATCACAGCTCTTTCCTTTAATTCCTTTTAGTGCAACATAGGCCTAATTATTTTGATGGTGCATGCTAAAAGCATATGTAAATTAGGAAGGAAATGTCAAATATTTCCAAAGACAAGAAATTTCTTATGCATTCTCCTATTACATATATATACATATATACCCCCCAAACTGGAATTCATTTATAAAAAATTTTATATATACTCTTACATGTTTAAACTTCAGTCACCTTCATAGTACTCTCCATTTGATGCAAAACACTTATTAAGACATTTTTCCGCTGCTCAAAACAGGTTTTGAACTCCTCAATTTTCACTCCTTTTAGTGCTTCTACCTTTTTTGTTTCACCTCTTTCACATTAGCATAATGTTTCCCTTTGAGGACTTTTTTCATCCAAGGAAACAAACAAAAAAATGTCACCCAGGGTGAGATTGGCTGAACGGGAATGATGGGGCACAGGGTTCGTGCCATTTTTGGTCAAAAACTGCTGAACACTCAGCTTGACGTGGGCAGGTGCACCTGTAAATCATTCGTTATGAAGTGGGCAAATGTG